GAGGACAAGATAAGGGGAAGGAGAAGATAGATATACAGCCCGGAGAGGAGATTGAGGAAATTCAAATGGTGCAGGGATGCGATGACCGAAAATTTAGAATCGGAAAAGATTTGGGGGAGCCGGTCAGGTCGAAGTTGATCAATTTAATAAGGGAATTTACGGACATCTTCACGTATACAACGGACGAGCTGACAGGGATCGAGGCCAGGGTGATTGAGCACAGACTTAATATTGATCTCAGTGTCAGACCGGTGAAGCAAAAGAGAAGGCATCATGGTGTGGAGATGGACAAAATCATCGAGCAGGAGGTCGACAAGCTGTTGAACGCTGGACACATTAAAAAGATTCAGTTCTTCGAGTGGTTATCCAATACAGTCATGGTGTCCAAATCAGGAGGAAAGTGGAGGATGTGCATCGATTTCCGTGCTCTAAACAAGGCTTGCCCGAAAGATCTTTACCCGCTGCCAAGGATCGACCAGCTGGTAGACTCCACGGCAGGATGCGAGTTGCTTAGCCTGATGGACGCCTCTCAGGGATATCACCAGATCCCTTTGGCAAAAGAAGACTGGAAGAGGGTGAGTTTCATAACAAGAAAGGGCACCTATTGCTATGTAGTCATGCCATTCGGACTAAAGAATGCCGAGGCCACCTACCAACATCTCGTCGACAAAATTTTCAAAGACCAGTTGGGGAGGAACATGGAGGTGTATGTCGACGACATGCTGGTGAAAAGCAAGAAGGAGGACGACCACGCGGTTGACCTGAGGGAGACCTTCCAGACACTAAGGAGGTTTGGCATGAAGCTCAACCCGGCTAAGTGCTCGTTCGGAGTAAAGTCGGGAAAGTTCTTGGGGTACATGGTGACAAAGCGAGGGATAGAGGTGAATCCTGAAAAAGTAAAAGCGGTGATCGAAATGAAGCCGCCGGCTAATGTGAAGGAGGTCCAAATACTAACTGGTCGAATAGTGGGCCTAAGCAGGTTCATTTCCAAGGTGGCCGAAAAGAGCAGCCCTTTGTTCAAAACCCTGAAGAAGAGCTCGAAATTTCAGTGGACAGGGGAAGCCTAAAAAGCCTTCGAGGAGTTGCAGAGGACGCTGGCTAACTTGCCCTTATTGGCCAAGCCAATTCACGGAGAGGAGCTCGTGCTCTACATATCGGTGGGCGAGAGTTCTGTAAGCTCAGTATTATTACGAGAAGAAGGAGTGGCACAATTCCCAATATATTATGTCAGTCGGGTAATGCAAGGAGCAGAGTTGAGGTACTCGGAAATTGAGAAATGTGCACTGGCGGTGGTCGTGACAGTTCGGAAGCTGAGGCCATACTTCCTGAACCACAAAGTCAAGGTGCGCACAAACATGCCGTTGGAGCAGACTTTAGGCCGACCAGCAGTGTCTGGTCGACTAGTAAAGTGGGCGGTCGAGCTGAGCGAGTACGCTATAAAATATGAACCAAGAAGGGCGATCAAAGGGCAGGTGTTGGCCGATTTCATACAGGAAGGTACGAAGGAGGAGGAAGATGGCGGGGGAATGTGGCAGTTGTTCGCAGATGGTTCGGTATCGATGAGCGGGGCTGGCTTGGGAATAGTCTTGATTTCGCCCAAAGGAGATTATTTAGAGTTTGCCGTCAAGATGGGGTTTCGAGTATCAAACAACGAGGCAGAATATGAAGCGGTGACAAAGGGATTACAATTGGCTCTGGCCGGAGGTGCTCGGAGAATCCAGGTCCATTCTGACTCGCAGTTGGTGGTCGGTCAATTCCAAGAAGGTTTCGAGATCAAAGAAGATCGGCTGCAACGTCATGTGGACAACATAAAAAAGTTGAAGGAAGAATTTGGGACATTCGAATTAATACAAATACCCCGAGGGGAGAATGGTCGGGCTGATTTACTGTCTAAAATCGCACAAAGCTTGGTCGATTGTAAGAGTAGGAGTGTGATTCTACTTTACATAGAGAGGAGCGCGACGGAAGTCGAGGTGGCGGAGATCGAGGAGGTAGAAGACTGGAGGGCCCCAATCCAGAAGGAGTTACGGGAAGGGACCACAAAGGTAGTGAGGAGGTTTTTCGAGCAAGGTGGGGTTCTCTATAAACGATCATATGCAGGTCCGCATTTGAGATGTGTATCTAAAGAGGAGGGTCGGTACGTTCTATGAGAAGTGCACGAGGGATGCTGTGGCGATCATAGCAAAGCCGGGGCCATGATTGCAAAGATCTTAAGAGCAGGCTACTTCTGGCCGACAATGAAAGCGGATGCTAAGGAAATGGCCAGGAGGTGTATGTAGTGCCAGAAGCACGGCCCGCTCATACACCAGCCAGCGGAGACAATGACTACAATGAGCGCACCTATTCCGTTTGCACAGTGGGGCATCGACCTAGTGGGACCAATGCCGCAAGCAACAGGGCAACGAAAATTTTTTATCGTGGCGGTCGACTACTTCACGAAATGGGTGGAAGCTGAACCGTTGGCCAAAATTACAGAAGAAAAAGTGATCCAGTTCCTGTATAATAACATTTGCTGCCGGTTTGGAGTCCCTAAAATCCTGATATCTGATAATGGAACGCAATTCAATGGTAAGCGGATAAGAGCGTGGTGCGAGGAAATGGGTATCGAGCAGCACTTCGCTTCTGTCGCACATCCACAGGCCAACGGACAGGTAGAGGTGACCAACAGGATCATCCTAAACGGACTTAAAACAAGGCTGGAAAAATCTTCAGGAGCATGGGTCGACGAGCTGACATCTGTGCTCTGGGCGTATAGGACCACTCCAAGGTCGACCACCGGCGAAACGCCCTTTAGCCTGGTATATGGGATGGAGGCACTTCTACCAGTGGAATTAGAACTGCAGTCTCAACGATCGAGCACTTATGATCAAGAGAAAAACGAAGAACTCATGCTGACCGCCCTAGACACTATCGAAGAACTCAGAGAACAA